TTTTTAATTTAATTTTTAAAACACAAAGTAAAAAAATCAAGAGCATGAAAAACTCATCAGCTAAAAATGGAGAAGACAGAAGATCTGATCTTATTGAAAAAGACTGCAAGACATGATTATTCATACAGCTCGTGCCTTCTTTCTCCTCCTTCTCTATCAACTCCAGTATAAAATTTTCAAGATTACTATAAGAAGACCCTCCTCCCCCCTCCATTGCGCTCCTCGCCATCTCTTTAAGCTCATGGGCACGCTTCCTTATCCTCTCCGCCTCCCCTCCCTCTCCCATCACGTTCCTCACCGCAGCCTCTAATGCCGCCGCCTTTATCACCGGCCGATCCTCCGATGTTATCCCGAAAACCTTCGAACCCACCGCCACTCCAATCTTCAGCACATCCACCAAAAGCCGCTCCTTGAAGAATTGCTCCGCAAAGAGCGGCCATGTCCCCATCGGCAAGCCCGCATTTATCCCTGCTAAGCACGAATTCCATCCACAATGTGTGATGAATCCGCCCACCGCCGCATGATTAAGTATTAGTTGTTGCGGCGCCCATCCATTGATTAAAAGACCTCTTCCTTCTATTCTCTGCATGTACCCTTCAGGAATCCAATCCTCACCCGCGTTTCGCACCGCCCAAACAAACGGATGGCTCGAAGCCTCGAGCCCAAGTTCCATCTCCCTCAGTTGTGCTGCTGTGAATGCACTTATGCTGCCAAAACACATGTACACTACAGATCCCTGCTTTCTTCCATCGAGCCACTTGACGCATTCTTCGCCTACTTTGGTTTCTCCTCGCCATCCAAACATATCCGCACCTTCTTGGTTGCAGAGAGTGGCAGGACCGATGAGCCACGCCTTCCTCCCCATCACTTTCCTAAAATGCTCCACATAGTCCTGCTCCAGCTCATAGAAACTGTTCACCACCAATCCGTAGCTGTTTGAATCGACCTCCTGCGCTTGATTGAAGATCTCGAGCACAGAAGGGATTGATTTAATGGGGTCTTCGACTTGCGATCGGAGTAGCTCGATGTGATGCGGGAGGTCGGGGAGGACGAAGGACTCTGCTTCTTGCTGTAGGTTCTCAATGACCCCTTGCCTCTGGATGCTGTCAAAAGCACACCGCGCAAACAAACTGGAGCCATCAAAAACGATTCTTTGTACGCCATTTTGGGCGCAAACTTGATGGGTCCATGGCAAGAAGAAGTCGGAGACAACGAAGTCTGGGCGGAGTTCTTTAAGGAGAAGGTCGAACGGGTGGTGGAGAAAGGCAATGCCTTTGATAAATTTGGATAGATGATCGTCGGAGAAAATGGAGGAAAAGCTCGAGCCTGGCGGCGGCTGAGGGGAAGGGGAGGAGGTGGAGGCGGATGGGAGAGGTGGCGGAGGAATTGAAGCGGTCGATAATGGGGCGAAGGAGAGTAGCGTTTGCGAAGGTGGTGAGGAGAGTGGCGGCTGGGCCGCGTGTGGCGAAGAGTTTGGCGATGCCGAGCATGGGGAGGATGTGGCCCGGAGCCAAGAATGGGAAGAAGAGGATGTTCAGGTTCTGGTTTATGGATCCCATTGTTAAACACAGGAGCAGATTAGATTGGCTTCCTCAAATCTGCACATAAAAATAGCTGGGCTGAATTCATTCATTGGCCGCAGGTGTGGCCACTTAATATTTTTCGCATTCATTGTGGGATCATCTTAAATAAATGAGGATTTACATATTTACATTTAAAAGATCTAAATTTTAGTTTTTACGAACATGTTTGTCATCTTACATATATGAGCAGCATCAGTATTATTTTTTTAGGATAAGTAAAATTATCAAATAATTAAATTAGATAATACATGTATATTATATTTTATTATTATTATAAAAAAATTGGAAATTTTAATGGGGGTAATTCCAATTCTGAATATAACCTAGCTCCATTCCTTTTTTACATATGTATCAAAATGACTTATTTTAGTTTTTAAACGTAGAAAATGATGATTGATGTGTGCTAGAAAATTCACGGCGGTAAAATGATGGATTATCATCTTAGCGTTGCAAGAGAATTAAACACACACTCAAGTAAAAGAGAACAATCAGTTATGACAACAGAAGCTTTTACGTGAAAACCTGCTAAAAAAATAATGGGATCTAGCCCAGATGTAAAAATTCACTATAGATTGATGGTTACAGAGACTATTTGTCCCACATACAGGAAAGAGTTATTAGGTTTTCCAAGTTACAATATTGACTGGCGGCTTCCAATCGGTGGTGGTCAACGGTGATTGGTGGTGCTCGATTGTGTTCAGCAGTTGATGACAGTCGGTGGTGGTTGGCGGCGAAAGTAGTGCGCGACAGTTGTCGGTGGTTGTCGGCGGCAGTCGATAATGGTCCACTGCAATTGGTGGTGATCGAAGGCGGTCAGCGGTCGTCGGTCAGTAGTGGTCAACGGAAGCCAGCGACAATCAACGGTGATAGGGCTGGTGCTGGACTTCAACTCTTTCTCAAAGCTTTAAGTTCTTTCTCAAGCCTCCAGCGCACCCCACCTCTATTTATAGTGTTCTGGGTGCAATGAATGCAAGAATATGACCACTTTGATACGACGGTCTGGAGGGTTTCCTTCGATCAGACGGTGCTTGATGGACATTGGAGTGCCTGAACGATGTCGGAATTGAGCAAGCTTGGGATATGTCGGTGCTTGACGATGTTTGACGACTCATCGAATCACGTGACGGGGACCAAGAGCGATAGATTGTGTCCCATACCTTAAGTCTGAATTCTATATTTTTGTATAGATCTAGGACCAGTCATGTATATGCAGAATTCGACCGCCTTTTTGCTACTTTTCCTTTGATATGTTGCCGACCCAGCGCCACTTTCCCTTTTATATATTTTGGAGTGATTTTACTTTCATTAGGTGTTTCCATGCTTGGAATATTTTTCTGGTTTCTTTCTAGTTTATCCCGGATGTCACGAAATTGTAATTTAAACTCTCAAGAACCATAAATTGTAAATTTTTCTATATAAAAATAATAAAAAATATCAAAGATAAATTAAAATTTAGAATTAAAAAATTCTAAATTTTTAAAATCTATCTTTTACTTTATTGCATAGACTTCAGTCCGATTTTAAGACGGGCTTCATTGCATGGGCATAATCCAAGTCATATAATAGGGTCTGCATACTATCTAAGGACTGCTCTAAATAATTGCATCGTTTGCATATCCCAAAGGGAAGCCCCAATGTTTCTTCAACCCGACCGCCCAACATAAATTTCTAATTAGTGGTTATCTAGTATGTCTCGATAGTTAGAAGACTCCTTGATCCAGACGAGGTGTAAGTCCTTTTGTTGGAAGCATTTTCCAGTTTTACAGATGAACCTCCATTTCACTTTTCCGACGGTATCTTTTCGATTTTGACAGGTATTATTCCTACCTCTTGGAGCTCAGGTCGATAGTCATAAGATAAATTTTTGTTCCTTTAACTTTAGAGCTATCAAGGTCCCCCGTAGACAATGTAATTCACGGATTGCTAACCGATGCTCACTGGACATGTTGGGTTGATTACATTTACGACCAGATAAACTTAGGGTCTTAGTGGATTGGGATAATGGGTCTTTGATACCCTTATGCGACTACCTCTACCCTTTAGGGAATATTCCTCCCTTCCTTTGACTACTCCTGTCGAGCTTTATCTCTCATGTTGTCTTCGTTGACACAGTCTTAGCGGTCTAATTACCGATGAGCTGTTGTCCGTTTAGGATACGAAGATTTGTTCTTTGTCTTTATGGTTCGAATGTGCTTTGATTTATCATGATTCTCAGTCGGGATGATTCGGCTATTTTGTAGGTTTCGTATGCCGACGAGTCTACTACATACTTGGGATCATGAGAGACTCACTCTGCGCTCTGTAACTTAGGAGCTTTGAAAGCATCATAGCATTCTCCTATGAAATAACTCTCATTTGATAGCTTTGTGCTAGTTGTCACTATTAATGTAAGGAAAACTCATTTAGATCAAGAGTATTCGGAGATTTGTTATGTATGTGGAGCCCGGTTTTAAATAATCCTGCAAAAGCTAAGTAAAAATATTTTCTTTCTTCTTCACTGCCAACCGTTCCCGCCTCTTACTTTGGAAGAGGCGTGCCTTTTTGCTGCGGTTGGCCCCACCACCATAAATGCAAGCAAAATGAAACCGTGGACTTCCTCTCCTATTGCAAAACAAAAAAAAGGATTTTTGGTTTTACGAAAAGCAAAGGCTACAGGCGACGAAAAACGAAGGGAAGGAGGAACGCACGTTTTCTCTCCAGTGGCTTTCTCTTCCTGCCTGGTTTACGAGAACAGGTGAAGAGGCTTTGCAGGTTTCACATCCTTGATTCTTCTTCTTTTTCTTCTTGGGCGACTCTCCGATAGAGAGAGAAAGAGAGGAAGAGATAAAGTTGTCTCTTGTAAGTGTCGAGACTATCGACTACAGTGTAATTTCCTCAATTAGTAAAATCCTCTGTAACTCCGTGGATGTAGGCAATTTGTCGAACCAAGTAAATCTGTGTGTTCTTTTGGTGTGAATTTTCTCGTGCTATTTTATTCGTTTCGTCGTCGATCGTTATAAATTTCATATACAACACAACATTCTTGGCCAACTATCAAGATATAATTAACCAAGTGAGATACTTCCCTTTGAGAGTACTCTAGACCCCAGAACAGACAAACACACCTGAATCTCAGGTTATGGACAGTTTACGTAGGTATTCTTTCGCATATAATTGTTCATGGCACTTCCGCCCGATCTTATCTAGGCTGACATATTTGACTTATCCTTATGAGGTTTATACATGTAGACTCTTCACGTCCTTTCTCTAGTATGTCATCTTTGTCATATGTTCGTCTTTTCCAGTTCATCTATTCTCTTAATCATTCACATGATCTGAAATAAATGCTTATTCAAAAAGAAAAAACATACGATGATAAATAAAATGACAACTCCATTTAAAAATAAAAAAAAGAAAGTAACAAAAATAATATTTTATAAATTTTTTGTGCTTTTACCTACATATTACACCATTCCTATGCATTTACATCATATCAAAAATGTTCTTATTATTTTTTTAAAAAAATAAGATACTAATTTTCATATATAAATTTATGACAATCTCAATCACCTCTCATATAAATACTCCTCCATTAAAATTTGTTAATTTTTTTTTTTCTCAGAAGAAGGAATTGAAGAAATTTGTGATATCCTATAGCTAATATTCATCCAAAATAGTTTCCTTCTAAATAACATGAAAATTGAGGTTCATTTGCAATTATCAACTCTAAGGAGTTGGAGTGTGGAAAATTGCTAGCTGCCATCAATATAGATAAAAACAAAAAACAGCAACAACAACAACAATAAACCCCTTAGACAATTTGCTCCTTCTTCTCCCTCAATTCCTCTATCAACTTCCCAAGATCATTATATGAAGATCCTCCCACCTCCACCGCCTTCCTCGCCATCTCTTTAAGCTCCCTCGCCCTCCTCCTCCTCTCCTCCGCCTCCTCCCCATCTCCCATCACCCTCCTCACCGCCGCTTCCAAGTCCCTCGCTTTCACCACCGGCCGATCCTCCGGAAGAATCGCAAACACGTTGGAACCCACCTCCACCCCAATCCCCAGCACATCCACCAAAAGCCGCTCATTGAAAAACTGCTCCGCATAAAGCGGCCATGTTCCCATCGGCAACCCCGCTGCTATCCCTTCTAAGCTTGAGTTCCATCCGCAGTGCGTCACGAAGCCCCCCACCGCCTCATGGTTTAGTATCAGAAGCTGCGGCGCCCATTCTTTGATCAAAATACCCCTCCCTTCTATCCTCTCTTCATACCCTTCAGGAATCCACTCATCCCCTGCGTCTCGAATAACCCAAACAAATGGATGGCCGGAATCCTCCAGCCCCATAGCCATCTCCTTCAGCTGCGTCGCTGTGAAGTTGCATATACTTCCAAAACACATGTACAAGACTGAACCCGGCGATCTTTCATCAAGCCACCTCAAGCATTCTTCCCCTGTTTTTCCTCCTCCTCCCCTGCCTGATTTATCGACCTCCGCTTGGTTGCAGAGCGCGACGGGACCTACATGCCATGCCCTCCTCCCCAAAACTTTCCTGGAGTGCTCGGCGTAATCTGGCTCCAGCTCATAGAAACTGTTCACCACCGTCCCAAAGCTCTTCGAATAGACTTCTCTTGCATGCTTGACGACCTCGATAACGGGGATCATAAAAGGGACAACTTTGGTGTTGTCTTGAAGTTGTGACCGCAGGAGTTCGATGCGATGTGGGAGACCGGGGAGGACGAAGGACTCCTCCTCCGGCGGCAGGCTCTCTAGAGGTTTGTGCCGCTCTAAGCTATCTACAGCGCATGCCGCAAAAAAGTTGGAACCTTCAAAAATGATTCTCGGTATGCCATTATCGGCGGCGACGTCGTAGGTCCATGGCAAGAAGAAGTCGGAGACGACGCAGTCGA